TCGACTCTTAGAACATATCCGGAATCAGTTCATTTAATTTGAATCTTTCACACTCCTTGTTAATAATTCCAGCATATGTAACAAAATCTTTGTCTTCTTTATATACTTCCAACGAATATTGAATAACAAACTTTTCTTGCTAAAAACTTTAGTCAGATATTTATTGTTTTTTCAAAGTAAATTTCTCCTGTTTTTTTCAGCAGTACAAAATTACAGTATTTTTCATGTTCTGCTGGTGATAAATTTCTCAACAAAGGTCTTGTTTTTTCTTGTCTTCCCAGTCACTACATTCTGCTCTAAAAAAATTGTTTGTATCTTCTAAAATAAGCAGAAAAGGTAATTCCATCAACTGAATTGTATGTGAATTCAGTTCTGGTATTTGCTACTGCATCAGGAATGAAAGAACTTGAGGAATTTTCTGTTTTTTTCTGTATTATTTCAATTATATTTTGTTGGTTTTAGAGTTCCAACAACTGCTTTTGTTACTGTTGCAATATTTTTACCACTTGGGCTAATAATTCTTCTATATTTAAAGAATATCTGTTTTTTTTCCTTCTTTCTTTTTTTCTTTTTTGCACCAAAGAGAAAAAAATATGAAACAATGTTTTGTTGTCACTGTTATTAGTTGCAACACTGAAGCAACAAAAAAAATGTACTTTTTTCCTACTCAGTATGAGTTTTGATTCCTTGTCGCTACTGTTATAACTCATTCCTAGCGGTTAAAATATTATGTCTTGCTTAAGCACACGACATGACGTCTTTTAGTAATTCTTCTGACTCATTTGGAGTTCTTTATTTAAGGTGTCTTGCCTACTTCATTCGTATTACAAGGGGTGTTTTATTTACTCAACAACAAGTGCAAGAATAGTTTTGAGCATGTCAAGGTTCAGAACTCAATGTTCATATTCATGGTATTCTCAGCACCCTTCTGTCAAACCACATTTCTTTTGCCAAAAGTCAATGGCTTCTCTTGATTAACTAGTCTTCTTCCTTTTACTTAAAGAATTCTCTGACTATTTACAATCCCTATGTGTCCTTATTCTATTACAAATTACTCATTTCACCTGCTTCACATGATTTTATTAAGTCCTTTAACTTCAGGATATGGGCAATCATGGTTTTTCATAATTTCCTGTATCACTAAGCAGTTTTCACAAGCTGGTTAGTTAGGTTAATCTGTTTCTCTCTGTCTATTTTGCCTTGAATTTATCCTGTAGTAGACAAATTTTCCAAGTTCTCTTTCCTCATATGTTACTCCAAAATTTCAGCTATCTCTTTCTGATTCAAGTACGTGTCCTTTTACGGACAACTTCCTGGTTGCTTATATACTCTGTCCACAGTATTCTCAGCAACCTCCTGTAGAACCAAATCTCTGTTGCTTTGTACCTTCTCTTTATCTTTGAGGAAATTATCCAGAATGCACTGCCATGTAGCAAGATTTATATTACATAGCATTTCAGCACTCTAGTTTTAAAAGTTCTTATACAATCAGTCAATAGAATTCTTAGCTTCCTTCTGGGGGATCACATCTTTGTCGCCTCAAGTCTCCTTTTCACCCCTGCAGAAATTATGCAGCATTCACTGTCATATATGAGGTTTAATGTTACATAGTATTTCAGCACTCTTTTTTTTCAAAACTTCTTCATTGTTCACATATTCCATCCATGGAATTCTCAGCATCCTTCTGTAGAACCACAGTGCGGAGTTTGAATCTTTGCTTGTTGTATCCTATCAACTACAACATAAAGATATAATAAAATATTCCAATATCTGATCCATGATCAATATTTGAACTCCAATTGTAGCTTTAGAATTTGAAATAAATTAGATAAAGAACAATCTATAATCATTCTGTAATCAAAAGAGATATTGATTGACTCCTTACTGTTCTATTTTGTACTCATTTTGGTATCAATTTACACAATCTCATTAGTTAGATTATTCACTGCCAAATTTTCTAAGCTTTCTTTCCTCATTTTATGTCTCAAAAATTTCAACTATCCTTTTCTAATAAAGCATGTCTTTCTAGTTCATATTTATTTTAGACCTTCCTTATGGTCATTTATTCAGTCTTCAAGTCTTTTCTTAATCTGTGAAGAAATTGTCCAACATTCAATAGCCATATTGGAGTATTAATATTACATAATGGTTCAACGCTCATTTCATTGTTTCTGTTGTATGAAGAATTACAACTATATTTGAATTCTGTGTTTCCATTTTTCTGAGTCATTGGTTTTCTTTTTATAACTGGGAATTTATGTTTATCTCTCTCTTTTTAATTGAGATATCTAGCGCCATCGTAGCTTTAGAATTTGAAATAAATAAGATAAAGAACAATCTATAGTCATTCTGTCACCAAAAGAGATATTGGTTGACTATTTACTGTTCCAAAATGAATTTGTTTCATTAGTTAGGTTACTCACTATTTCCCTCTGCCCCTCTTGCTTTTACTGTATCCTGTGAGTGCCAAATTTTCCAATCCTTCTTTCCTTATTATATGTCTTAGAATTTTCAACTATTTCTTTCCAATAAAGGCTGTCCTTCTAGTTTGGATTTACTTTAGAACTTGCTCATGGCCATTTGTTCTGTCTGTGGAACCACATTTATGCTGCTTCACGTCTCTTCTTCAGCTGTGAAGAAATTGTCCAAGATTCAATGGCCATACAGGAGGATTCATATTACAGTTTAACAGTCTTTTCTTAATTTCTGTTGAAATTCTCTGCTTAGGAAGTGATAGACTGAGATGGATTGAAATAGTCCAAGATAAATAGAAAATGGCTGTGATAGATAGATAGATAGATAGATAGATAGATAGATAGATAGATAGATACTGTTACAGACAGACAGACAGACAGATAGATAGATAGATAGATAGAGATAGATAGATAGATATGAAGGACCTAGAAAGATAGATAGATAGATAGATAGATATGAAGGACCTAGATAGATATAGATAGATAGATGGATAATGAGATAGACAGAGAGATTGAGAGATAGATAGGTATGAATAAAGTTATGAATAGCCAAAGACAGATAGGGAGTTATAAATGAAATAAAAAAAAAACATCTGAATTGAATAGATAGATAGTTTTAACAGTATCTATCTATATATAAAATTGTCTGTCTTCCGTTAGTCTGTTAGTCCATCCAAACATTTATCACACCCTCTAAAATAGCCACACATTGACCAACTGAAAGCAAATTTTGGGGAAAAGTGCAAACAGGTAAGTGGATACAAAGTACAATTGGTTTTACTAGGGTGCGTAGCTTAGTACCATAAATTTTTTAGTACAATAAATTTTTCATTATTTAACAAGCAAAATATTCCCCCTATTTTAAAAACAATTTAATGATTAAAATAAAAAAAAAAACTTATTTAATAAAAATGCAATATTGTTTTTTGCATATCTTTTCCAGTTTCTCTATGTTTGCAAGATCTGTAAAAAAAATCACAAGGCCAAATACTTCTAAAATTGGGAATTTGGCTCCAGAAAGAAAGACTTTGCACATGACCAGTTGTATGTTGCATGCTCAAGAGTAAGAAATCCTAACAAGTTATTCTTTACTCTTAGAAAGTAAAAAAAAAAATATTAAAAAATATTGTTTATCAAGAAATCCTATAAAATTAAAGAAATTATTAAATTGTGAAGTAGGTTTTTTGTCAAAGTATTTTTCTAAACAAATCAACTTATTCAAATTTCATCAATTGGTTTTTTGAAATTGAGTAAAATCTAAAGTTTCTGAATCTTGTCAAAAAATGTTAGTGATAACTTCAACAATACTAAATACTGTGAGGAATTCAACACACATCAGCGTGTTGCAAAAAAAATTCAGTAATAAAAAAATACATTAACATTCTGTATTAAAAACTGAAAATAATAAGTTGTTTTTGTGGATTGGCTATTAATTTAAATTCAGTGTTTATTTATTCACAGCAGTTAGAAATTGCTTGCAGCATTTTGAAATTCTTTACTTGCAGCCATGAAAATTGTTTATTTAAATTCCATGTTTTTATCCCAAATTCATAATATTTAAAACTGGAGCGTTCTCTTTTAACTTTATTCATAACAATAAAAATGATGATAAATGATTTTACATGTTTTTAGAGGGTTGTTGTAATATATTCAAAAGTGTGCCTTGAGAAGAATTGAAAAATATCAATGTAATTCATCAATATTAAATGTTATCCAATGAAGGCAAGGTAATCTGGTCACGTGAATTTAAGTATATGTGTGCTTCCTTGTTTCTGGCCATAATTACATGGAAAACAGTACCCAGCTAACCATGTCAGTAATTCAGCCATTTGGCCATTCGTCATTTGAATAATCTGTAGTCAGTCAGCCAGTGTAGGCAGTCGATATGAGCAGTGCAAGGTTAGTTTCAGCAGAAAAATTTTACCTGCCCTTCTGAGCTGTCAGAGGTGATCAGATGAAATGGATTCCTTGTTTAGAAGAAATCCAATCACTTGTTCAGCCGCTCATTTAAAATAATAAAAACAAACATGATTAGTGAGTCATATTAGTGATTTGGTGATTTGACAACTTGGTAATTTGGTAATTTGTTATTCTTCTTTTGAACAATCTGCAGTTAGTCAGAACTTAGTAGTCAGCAAGGAGCAGTCAGCCAGGGAAGGTCAGATTTAGTTAGTGCCAGGTTGGCTCCAGTGTTACCAGAAATGTCAGCATCAGATTTGGCATGGTTCCTGATATATGTTCCTCTGACTGAAGATGGTAAAACAATATGACTGAAGAAATTCATCCCAGGTTTTATTCACGCTGAAATAAATATTCCAAAGATACCAAGGATGTAATAATTAAAACTAAAAATATTTGAGTTGAATATTGACAGTCCTACCACTAAGATACTGATGCCTAAGAAATATAAAGAAATATTTTATCAATTGGTTTTCTGTCAAAATGATATTATTAAAATATCAATACATGAACAAAATATTAGATGATATAAAAACAAAATGATGTGTTCAATTAGAAACAGAGAGTTCTTGGTAGGGTTGAAACATCAGCTCCCATACAGTCCCCAAAGTTAAGCAATGTTGAGCCTGGTCAGTACTTAGATAGGTAACCGCTAGGGAATAGCAGGTGCTGTAAGCTTGGATGTATAGATGTAATGAATAATGACTCGGAATTGTTAAATTAATTGGAAAGCTGAGTTCCAAATCCAGTTGGGTTCATTATATTGACTTACGTACAAATACCCTAGGGAAAGGTATGAATTCACCTTTTCTCCCTCCAGCTATGGGTTAGTTAGTAAAACTTGTACCACTAAACCAGCATTATCTCAGCAAACTGAAGATTGTGTTGGGTATGAAACTCCAAGTCATGATACCTGTAAGGAAAAAAGGATATTTGTTAATAGCTCTTTTATATTGCATTGGGCACTATTTTATTAATTAAGATCAGCACTTAATATGCATTATTACACACACACACACACACACACACACACACACACACACACACACACACACACAGTGTATCACAAAAGTGAGTACACCCCTCACATTTCTTCAAATATTTAAGTATATCTCTTCATGGGACAACGCTGACAAAATGACACTTTGACACAATGAAAAATAGCCTGTCTGCAGCATATATAACAGAGTTAATTTATTTTTCCCTAAAAATAACTCAAAATATAGCCATTAAAAGCTAAATCCCTGGCAACAAAAGTGAGTACACCCCTCACATTTCTTCAAATATTTAAGTATATCTCTTCATGGGACAACACTGACAAAATGACACTTTGACACAATGAAAAGTAGCCTGTCTGCAGCATATATAACAGAGTTAATTTATTTTCCCCTCAAAATGACTCAAAATATAGCCATTAAAAGCTAAATCCCTGGCAACAAAAGTGAGTATACCCCTAAGAAACTACACCCCTAAAAAGTGAGTACACCCCTAAGAAACTACACCCCTAAATGTCTAAATTGAGTACTGCTAATGCTGTAACTGAGCTGCAGCACAGTGGCTAAGATCATCCAGCATTTTAAAAGAGCAGGGTCCACTCAGAACAGGCCTCAAAGTAGAGAGACATTGTCTATCAAATAAAGGAATAGAAAAAATATTCTAATATCAGATTTGCTTCAAATGTATAAAGAAAATTAGAAAAAAATTATACAACATGGCTGACAGGAGAAAACATTGTTCAAAACTTTGTCCAAATTGAACAGCGTATTGATTATTGATATTGTTGAAACTTGGATAAGCATGGAATAATAATAATACAACACAAAATGTACGTAAACAAAATGTATTGAAACAAGGAAAAGGTACACAATATTTACAGTTAGTTTTGGTATATTCTTGGGAAGACTGTTCCTAACAGAATGGGTTGACTTAATCGCAGTCGGGCAGAGTCTCTCGATTCGATCTCTTCTTCCTACTATTTTCCCCGTCTTCCGGTACCAACCCATATTTATATGGTCGGTACTCCACTTATGTAAATTAGGTGTATCATACCACAACAGATATAGAAAAACAGAATTGGTGAACAGAGTTCAAAATCTGATTGAGGTTACTTCAAACTCTTCTTCTATGTACCGTGTTCCTGTCATGAAATTACACAACTTTGTTTCCTTTGAAGCTTTTACCATTTTCACCATTCTTCACCTTTATTCTGCCAAATATTTACACAAGTTTGTTTCCCTCTGCATCTCTTGCATTCAATATATCCTGTGAGTGTTAAATTCTTCAAGCCCTCTTTCCACATTATATACCCTAAAAATATCAACTGACTCTTTCTAATTCTGAATATCAGTTAGTTAAGTGCCATATGTGTAGGAATATTATTATTATTATTATAAATAAATAAAAACAAAATACAAAATAATAATAATAATAATGAAAATTATAAATTGTTATGGAACCTTACCCATAATAACTTAATGGACTATTCCATACGTAATAAATACTGTGCCTCAAGAGGAAGCAGCAAGTTCCATCTGAAGTCTGGAGTGAAGTCTGAAGTCTGGAGTGTATTTCGTCAGAAGTCAGTCAGTCGAGTCAGAGGCAGTCCAAACAGAGTCGTGTTCAGACAATTACTACTAAACCTGATTGTTCGTACTAACACTTTCTACTTCTCTGTATATATTCCTGTTTGTAATATATCTGTGTTATTCCATATCCGCCTTCGAGTTCTTCTTTATTGGTTCTACCTTGGACTATCAACGTGGTACAAGTAACCGGACCATAACATAAATAAAATAAAACAATAACATAAAAATATTGTATAAAATAAATTAAATTAAATTAAAAATACTCCCAGCATGCAACAAAATCTGTTCCTGTTGGAAATACAGACATCCTGCCAAAAGATATTAAATTCAGTCTCTTTACCATGAACATTATTAACGGGCAACATGTGTATAACTTCTCTCTGTGATATGGCTTTTTTATACTATAGAGTAAATTCTCCCTTTTATTACATGTACCATAAAACAATTGTAAGCTAAAAAATACACACAAAAATATAAATAAATTGTATGAAATTAACGTAGAATCTACCATAATTTTCCTCTTACTTGTGTACATTTTATTTCCTGTCAAGTATGTTTTTATCTCCATGAACATGAGGCCAATTTCTGCTGCTATGATGTGAGTGAATTCCTCACATGGTTGGGCCAATATCTGCAAATATCTCCTGCCCTGCCCGAATCTATGATATGCTTCCTATTACAACTTAATTTTCATAAGGTAGTATTCATATAAAATACAAATCTTAATATAACTCAATTAACTATAATAATAATAATGGATCATATGCAACATAGATGAGCAATTCAACTAAGAATTATTGAAAATAAAAATAACATCTCGGAATACAAATTAAATACATATAATAAATCATTCCATCTTAAATCAAAAATGTTTTGCAACAATTTTTAACATCAACAACATTTTTTCCTGTTGAAAAATTGAATAAGTTTAATGCATCAACATTTATGAATAAAAATAGTGAATTTTATATAGTGTTTATTTATGTAGTGAATTTTATATAGTGTTTTTTTATATAGTGAATTTTATATAGTGTTTTTTATGTAGTGAATTTTATATAGTGTTTTTTTTGTAGTGAATTTTATATAGTGTTTTTTATGTAGTGAATTTTATATAGTGGTTTTTATGTAGTGAATTTTATATAGTGTTTATTTATGTAGTGAATTTTATATAGTGTTTATTTATGTAGTGAATTTTATATAGTGTTTTTTTAAGAATTAACAGGAGCATAAAAATTCACAGATTTCAATGAAAAAAAAACAGAATGATATCAAAATCCATTAATATTTTTCATCCTTTAATACTCAATTATGCCTAGTTTAATTTGTAATCAGGACCGTCCCACAGTCGGTGTGTTTAGATACTGTACACACTGACCCTGCTCAGATCTGATATTGTAAATACTGCCAAAATGAAGCTTCACGATTTATTAAAAAATACATCTGTAAAATTTTTTTCTCAAATTTGTAAAAAAATTAGACTCAAATCTCATGGTCTTGAAACTCAGCTGAATAATGCATGCAAAGAGGCATGATTTCAGAGATACATTTCCCAGTAGGGACAGAAAATTATGAATCCAAGTTATCAAATTTCTGATTCAACTGGGAGCCAATTCATGGCTACTTAAGAAGTCTGGCCAATCAAACTGACAGAAGAAAACTAGCTTTTACATGTGAAAGTTACTGTCTGGCTGCTGGCAGGAAGAAAGCAGAATGGTATTGGTTTTCATAGGTAAAACTTACTAGCAGCCGCTAAGAGTAAAATGCTGAAGAGTTTTAGCATATACAAGGATGATGCTGGCAATGAAGAGGAAGACGAACAAAGAAAAACTAAAAACCAATCATGACACAATTGACAATGAAAAGGAAGATAAAAGAAAAAGAAAAGAATGAAATTGAAAGAAAAAGAAAAGGAAGATGCTCAAAGAAAAAGAAAAGAAAGAAGCTGGAAGAAAAAAAAGAAATAAGTTGAAAGAAAAAGAAAAGGAAGAAGCAGAAAGAAAAAAGAATACAAGAAGTTGAAAGAAAAAAGAAAGAAGTTGAAAGAAAAAGAAATGATAGACTTGGAAAGAAAAAGAAAAGAATTAAGTTGTAGGAAAAGAAATGAGGATGAAAGAAAAAGAAAAGAAAGTGCTGAAAGAAAAAGAAAAGGAAAAAGTCGAATAAAAAGGAAAATGAAGAAGTTGAAAGAAAAAGAAAATGAAGAAGCTGAAAGAAAAAGAAATGGAAGATACTCAAAGAAAAAGAAATGGAAGACACTCAAAGAAATAAAAAACAAAGAATTTGAAAGAAAAAGAAAAGGAAGAAGCTGAAAGAAAAAGAAAATGAAGAAGTTGAAAGAAAAAGAAAATGAAGATTTGAAAGAAAAAGAAAATGAAAAAGCAGAAAGAAAAACAAAAGGAAGAAGCTGAAAGAAAAAGAAAAGGAAGAAGCTGAAAGAAAAAGAAAATGAAGAAGCTGAAAGAAAAAGAAAAAGAAGAAGTTGAAAAAAAAAAAGAAAAGGAAGAAGTTGAAAGAAAAAGAAAAGGAAGAAGTTGAAAGAAAAATAAAAAGAAGTTGAAAGAAAAATAAAAAGAAGAAGTTGAAAGAAAAAGAAAAGGACGAAGCTGAAAGAAAAAGAAAAGGAAGAAGCTGAAAGAAAAAGAAAAGGAAGAAGCTGAAAGAAAAAGAAAAGGAAGAAGCTGAAAGAAAAATAAAAAGAAGAAGTTGAAAGAAAAAGAAAAGGAAGAAGCTGAAAGAAAAATAAAAAGAAGAAGTTGAAAGAAAAAGAAAATGAAGAAGCTGAAAGAAAAAGAAAAAGAAGAAGTTGAAAGAAAAAGAAAATGAAGAAGTTGAAAGAAAAAGAAAAAGAAGAAGTTGAAAGAAAAAGAAAAGGAAGAAGCTGAAAGAAAAAGAAAATGAAGAAGTTGAAAGAAAAAGAAAAGGAAGAAGCTGAAAGAAAAATAAAAAGAAGAAGTTGAAAGAAAAAGAAAATGAAGAAGCTGAAAGAAAAATAAAAAGAAGAAGTGGAAAGAAAAAGAAAAGGAAGAAGCTGAAAGAAAAATAAAAAGAAGAAGTTGAAAGAAAAAGAAAAGGAAGAAGCCGAAAGAAAAAGAAAAAGAAGAAGTTGAAAGAAAAAGAAAATGAAGAAGCTGAAAGAAAAAGAAAAAGAAGAAGTTGAAAGAAAAAGAAAAGGAAGAAGCTGAAAGAAAAAGAAATGATAGACTTGGAAAAAAAAAGAAAAGAATTAAGTTGTAGGCAAAGAAATGAAGATGAATAAAAAAGAAAAGAAAGTGCTGAAAGAAAAAGAAAAGGAAAAAGTCGAATAAAAAAGAAAATGAAGAAGTTGAAAGAAAAAGAAAATGAAGAAGCTGAAAGAAAAAGAAATGGAAGATACTCAAAGAAAAAGAAATGGAAGACACTCAAAGAAATAAAAAACAAAGAATTTGAAAGAAAAAGAAAAGGAAGAAGCTGAAAGAAAAAGAAAATGAAGAAGTTGAAAGAAAAAGAAAATGAAGATTTGAAAGAAAAAGAAAATGAAAAAGCAGAAAGAAAAAGAAAAGGAAGAAGCTGAAAGAAAAAGAAAAGGAAGAAGCTGAAAGAAAAAGAAAAGGAAGAAGCTGAAAGTAAAAGAAAAGGAAGAAGCTGAAAGAAAAAGAAAAAGAAGAAGTTGAAAGAAAAAGAAAAGGAAGAAGTTGAAAGAAAAAGAAAAGGAAGAAGTTGAAAGAAAAATAAAAAGAAGTTGAAAGAAAAATAAAAAGAAGAAGTTGAAAGAAAAAGAAAAGGACGAAGCTGAAAGAAAAAGAAAAGGAAGAAGCTGAAAGAAAAAGAAAAGGAAGAAGCTGAAAGAAAAAGAAAAAGAAGAAGTTGAAAGAAAAAGAAAATGAAGAAGTTGAAAGAAAAAGAAAAGGAAGAAGCTGAAAGAAAAAGAAAATGAAGAAGTTGAAAGAAAAAGAAAAGGAAGAAGCTGAAAGAAAAATAAAAGAAGAAGTTGAAAGAAAAAGAAAATGAAGAAACTGAAAGAAAAAAAAGAAAAGAAAGAAGCTGAAAAGAAAAAGAAAAATGAAGAAGTTGAAAGAAAAGAAAAAGAAGAAGTTGAAAAAAAAGAAAAGGAAGAAGCTGAAAGAAAAAAGAAGAAGTTGAAAGAAAAAAGAAAAGGAAGAAGCTGAAAGAAAAAAAAAAAAGAAGAAGTTGAAGAAAAAAGAAAATGAAGAAGCTGAAAGAAAATAAAAAGAAGAAGTTGAAAGAAAAGAAAAGGAAGAAGCTGAAAGAAAAGAAAGGAAGAAGCTGAAAAAAAAAAGAAAAAGGAAGAAGCTGAAAGAAAAAAAAAAGAGAAAGTTGAAAAAAAAAAAAATGAAGAAGCTGAAAGAAAAGAAGTTGAAAGAAAAAGAAAAGGAAGAAGCTGAAAGAAAAATAAAAAGAAGAAGTTGAAAGAAAAAGAAAAGGAAGAAGCTGAAAGAAAAATAAAAAGAAGAAGTTGAAAGAAAAAGAAAATGAAGAAGCTGAAAGAAAAAGAAAAAGAAGAAGTTGAAAGAAAAAGAAAAGGAAGAAGCTGAAAGAAAAAGAAAAGGAAGAAGCTGAAAGAAAAAGAAAAGGAAGAAGCTGAAAGAAAAATAAAAAGAAGTTGAAAGAAAAAGAAAATGAAGAAGCTGAAAAAAAAGAAAAAAAAAAAAGAAGAAAGAAAAAAAGAAAAGGAAGAAGCTGAAAGAAAAAGAAATGATAGACTTGGAAAAAAAAAGAAAAGAATTAAGTTGTAGGCAAAGAAATGAAGATGAAAGAAAAAGAAAAGAAAGTGCTGAAAGAAAAAGAAAAGGAAAAAGTCGAATAAAAAAGAAAATGAAGAAGTTGAAAGAAAAAGAAAATGAAGAAGCTGAAAGAAAAAGAAATGGAAGATACTCAAAGAAAAAGAAATGGAAGACACTCAAAGAAATAAAAAACAAAGAATTTGAAAGAAAAAGAAAAGGATGAAGCTGAAAGAAAAAGAAACTGAAGAAGTTGAAAGAAAAAGAAAATGAAGATTTGAAAGAAAAAGAAAATGAAAAAGCAGAAAGAAAAAGAAAAGGAAGAAGCTGAAAGAAAAAGAAAAGGAAGAAGCTGAAAGAAAAAGAAAAGGAAGAAGCTGAAAGTAAAAAGAAAAGGAAGAAGCTGAAAAGAAAAAATAAAAAGAAGAAGTTGAAAGAAAGAAAGAAAATGAAGAAGCTGAAAGAAAAGAAAAAAGAAGTTATGGAAAAAAAAAAAAAAGAAAAGGAAGAAGCTGAAAGAAAAAGAAATGATAGACTTGAAAAAAAAAAAAGAAAAGAAGAAAAGGAAAAGAAATGAAGATGAAAAAAAAAAAAAAAAGAAAAAGCTGAAAGAAAAGAAAAGGAAAAAGTCGAAAAAAAAAGAAAATGAAGAAGTTGAAAGAAAAAAGAAAATGAAGAAGCTGAAAGAAAAAAAAATGGAAGATATCAAAGAAAAAAAAAAAAAGAATTTGAAAAAGAAAAGAAAAGGATGAAGCTGAAAGAAAAAGAAACTGAAGAAGTTGAAAGAAAAAGAAAATGAAGATTTGAAAGAAAAAGAAAATGAAAAAGCAGAAAGAAAAAGAAAAGGAAGAAGCTGAAAGAAAAAGAAAAGGAAGAAGCTGAAAGAAAAAGAAAAAGGAAGAAGCTGAAAAAAAGAAAAAGGAAGAAGCTGAAAGAAAAAGAAAAAAGAAGAAGTTGAAAAGAAAAAGAAAAGGAAGAACTTGAAAGAAAAAAAAAAAAAGGAAGAAGAAAGAAAAAAAAAAGAAGTTGAAAGAAAAATAAAAAGAAGAAGTTGAAAGAAAAAGAAAAGGACGAAGCTGAAAGAAAAAGAAAAGGAAGAAGCTGAAAGAAAAAGAAAAGGAAGAAGCTGAAAGAAAAAAGAAAAGGAAGAAGTTGAAAGAAAATAAAAAAGAAGTTGAAAGAAAAAAGAAAAAGAAGAAGTTGAAAGAAAAAAAGAAAAGGACGAAGCTGAAAAAAAAAAGAAAAGGAAGAAGCTGAAAGAAAAAGAAAAGGAAGAAGCTGAAAGAAAAAGAAAAGGAAGAAGCTGAAAGAAAAATAAAAAGAAGAAGTTGAAAGAAAAAGAAAATGAAGATAAAAAAAAAAAGAAAAAAGAAAAGGAAGAAGCTGAAAGAAAAGAAAAATGAAGAAGTCGAAAGAAAAGAAAAAGAAGAAGTTGAAAGAAAAAAGAAAAGGAAGAAGCTGAAAGAAAAAAAAGAAGAAGTTGAAAAAAATGAAGAAAAGGAAGAAGCTGAAAGAAAAGAAAAAGAAGTTGAAAGAAAAAGAAAAAAAAGAAGCTGAAATAAAAAATAAAAAGAAGAAGTTGAAAGAAAAAAGAAAAGGAAGAAGCTGAAAAAAAAGAAAAGGAAGAAGCTGAAAAAAAAAAGAAAAGGAAGAAGCTGAAAGAAAAATAAAAAAAGAAGAGGTTGAAAGAAAAGAAAATGAAGAAGCTGAAAGAAAAAAAAAAAAGAAGTTGAAAGAAAAGAAAAGGAAGAAGCTGAAAGAAAAATAAAAAGAAGAAGTTGAAAGAAAAGAAAAGGAAGAAGCTGAAAGAAAAATAAAAGAAGAAGTTGAAAGAAAAAAGAAAATGAAGAAGCTGAAAAAAAAAAAGAAAAAGAAGAAGGAAAGAAAAAGAAAAGGAAGAAGCTGAAAGAAAAAAGAAAAGGAAGAAGCTGAAAGAAAAAGAAAAAGGAAGAAGCTGAAAGAAAAAATAAAAGAAGAAGAAAAAAAAAGAAAAAAGAAAAGGAAGAAGCTGAAAGAAAAAAAAAAAAGAAGTTGAAAGTAAAAAGAAAATGAAGAAGCTGAAAAAAAAAAGAAAAGGAAGAAGCTGAAAAAAAAAAAGAAAATGAAGAAGTTGAAAGAAAAAAAAAGAAAAGGAAGAAGCTGAAAGAAAAAAGAAATGGAAGACACTGGAAGAAAAAAGAAAATGGAAGACACTCAAAGAAATAAAAAAGAAAAGCATTTGAAAGAAAAAAAGAAAAGGAAGAAGCAGAAAGAATGAAAAAAAAAAATAAAAAGCTGATAGAAAAAGAAAAATGAAGAAGCTGAAAGAAAAATAAAATGACGAAGTTGAAATAAAAAAGAAAATGAAGAAGCTGAAAAGAAAAGAAAAGGAAGAAGCTGAAAGAAAAAGAAATGGAAGGCACTCTCAAAGAAAAGAAATGGAAGACACTCAAAGAAATAAAAAGAAAGCATTTGAAAGAAAAGAAAAGGAAGAAGCTGAAAAAAAAAAGAAAAGGAAGAAGTTGAAACAAAAGAAAAAGGAAGAAGCTGAAAGAAAAATAAAAAAATGAAGAAGTTGAAAGAAAAAAGAAAAGGAAGAAGCTGAAAGAAAATAAAAAGAAGAAGTTGAAAGAAAAGAAAAGGAAGAAGCTGGAAAGAAAAAAGAAAAGGATGAAGCTGAAAGAAAAAGAAAAGGAAGAAGCTGAAAGAAAAATAAAAAGAAGAAGTTGAAAGAAAAAGAAAATGAAGAAGCTGAAAGAAAAAGAAAAAGAAGAAGTTGAAAGAAAAAGAAAATGAAGAAGCTGAAAGAAAAAGAAAAAGAAGAAGTTGAAAGAAAAAGAAAAGGAAGAAGCTGAAAGAAAAAGAAAAGGAAGAAGCTGAAAGAAAAAGAAAAGGAAGAAGCTGAAAGAAAAATAAAAAGAAGAAGTTGAAAGAAAAAGAAAAGGAAGAAGCTGAAAGAAAAAAAAAAAGAAGTTGAAAGAAAAGAAAATGAAGAAGCTGAAAAAAAAAGAAAAGGAAGAAGCTGAAAGAAAAAGAAAATGAAGAAGTTGGAAAGAAAAGAAAAGGAAGAAGCTGAAAAAAAGAAATGGAAGACAAAGAAAAAAGAAATGGAAGACACTCAAAGAATAAAAAAGAAAGCATTTGAAAGAAAAGAAAAAGAAGAAGCAGAAAGAAAAAAAAAAAATAAAAAGTTGATAGAAAAAATAAAATGAAGAAGCTGAAAGAAAAATAAAATGACGAAGTTGAAAGAAAAAGAAAATGAAGAAGCTGAAAGAAAAGAAAAGGAAGAAGCTGAAAGAAAAGAAATGAAGGCACTCAAAGAAAAAGAAATGGAAGACACTCAAAGAAATAAAAAAAAAAGCATTTGAAAAAAAAGAAAAGGAAGAAGCTGAAAAAGAAAAGAAAAGGAAGAAGTTGAAAAAAAAAAGAAAAGGAAGAAGTTGAAAGAAAAAGAAAAGAAGAAGTTGAAAGAAAAAAAAAATGAAGAAGCTGAAAGAAAAGAAAAGGAAGAAGCTGAAAGAAAAAGAAAAAGAAGAAGTTGAAAGAAAAAGAAAAGGAAGAAGCTGAAAGAAAAAGAAATGGAAGACACTCGAAGAAAAAGAAATGGAAGACACTCAAAGAAATAAAAAAGAAAGCATTTGAAAGAAAAAGAAAAGGAAGAAGCAGAAAGAAAAAGAAAATAAAAAAGCTGATAGAAAAATAAAATGAAGAAGCTGAAAGAAAAATAAAATGACGAAGTTGAAAGAAAAAGAAAATGAAGAAGCTGAAAGAAAAAGAAAAGGAAGAAGCTGAAAGAAAAAGAAATGGAAGGCACTCAAAGAAAAAGAAATGGAAGACACTCAAAGAAATAAAAAAGAAAGCATTTGAAAGAAAAAGAAAAGGAAGAAGCTGAAAGAAAAAGAAAAGGAAGAAGTTGAAAGAAAAAGAAAAGGAAGAAGCTGAAAGAAAAATAAAAAGAAGAAGTTGAAAGAAAAAGAAAATGAAGAAGCTGAAAGAAAAATAAAAAGAAGAAGTTGAAAGAAAAAGAAAAGGAAGAAGCTGAAAGAAAAAGAAAAAGATGAAGCTGAAAGAAAAAGAAAAGGAAGAAGCTGAAAGAAAAATAAAAAGAAGAAGTTGAAGAAAAAAGAAATGAAGAAGCTGAAAGAAAAAAAAAAGAAGTTGAAAGAAAAAAGAAAAGGAAGAAGCTGAAAAAGAAAAATAAAAAGAAGAAGTTGAAAGAAAAGAAAAGGAAGAAGCTGAAAGAAAAAATAAAAGAAGAAGTTGAAAGAAAAAAGAAAATGAAGAAGCTGAAAGAAAAGAAAAGAAGAATTTGAAAAAAAAAGAAAAGGAAGAAGCTGAAAGAAAAAGAAAAAGGAAGAAGCTGAAAGAAAAAGAAAAGGAAGAAGCTGAAAAGAAAAAAAAAAAGAAGAAGTTGAAAGAAAAATAAAAAGAAGAAGTTGAAAGAAAAAGAAAAAGAAGAAGTTGAAAGAAAAAGAAAATGAAGAAGCTGAAAGAAAAAGAAAAGGAAGAAGCTGAAAGAAAAAGAAAATGAAGAAGTTGAAAGAAAAAGAAAAGGAAGAAGCTGAAAGAAAAAGAAATGGAAGACACTCGAAGAAAAAGAAATGGAAGACACTCAAAGAAATAAAAAAGAAAGCATTTGAAAGAAAAAGAAAAGGAAGAAGCAGAAAGAAAAAGAAAATAAAAAAGCTGATAGAAAAATAAAATGAAGAAGCTGAAAGAAAAATAAAATGACGAAGTTGAAAGAAAAAGAAAATGAAGAAGCTGAAAGAAAAAGAAAAGGAAGAAGCTGAAAGAAAAAGAAATGGAAGGCACTCAAAGAAAAAGAAATGGAAGACACTCAAAGAAAAAAAAAGAAAGCATTTGAAAAAAAAAAGAAAAGGAAGAAGCTGAAAGAAAAAGAAAAGGAAGAAGTTGAAAGAAAAAGAAAAGGAAGAAGCTGAAAGAAAAAGAAAAAGAAGAAGTTGAAAGAAAAAGAAAATGAAGAAGCTGAAAGAAAAAGAAAAGGAAGAAGCTGAAAGAAAAAGAAAATGAAGAAGTTGAAAGAAAAAGAAAAGGAAGAAGCTGAAAGAAAAAGAAATGGAAGACACTCGAAGAAAAAGAAATGGAAGACACTCAAAGAAATAAAAAAGAAAGCATTTGAAAGAAAAAGAAAAGGAAGAAGCAGAAAGAAAAGAAAAAAAAAAAGCTGATAGAAAAATAAAATGAAGAAGCTGAAAAGAAAAATAAAATGACGAAGTTGAAAGAAAAAGAAAATGAAGAAGCTGAAAGAAAAGAAAATGAAGAAGCTGAAAGAAAAAAGAAATGGAAGGCAAAAAAAAAGAAATGGAAGACACTCCAAAGAAATAAAAAGAAAGCATTTGAAAGAAAAAAGAAAAGGAAGAAGCTAAAAGAAAAAAAAAAAAGAAAAGGAAGAAGTTGAAAGAAAAAGAAAAGGAAGAAGCTGAAAGAAAAATAAAAAGAAGAAGTTGAAAGAAAAAGAAAAGGAAGAAGCTGAAAGAAAAAGAAAAAGAAGAAGTTGAAAGAAAAAGAAAATGAAGAAGCTGAAAGAAAAAGAAAAGGAAGAAGCTGAAAGAAAAAGAAATGGAAGACACTGAAGAAAAAGAAATGGAAGACACTCAAAAAAAAAAAAAAGAAAGCATTTGAAAGAAAAAAGAAAAGGAAGAAGCAGAAAGAAAAAGAAAAATAAAAAAGCTGATAGAAAAATAAAATGAAGAAGCTGAAAGAAAAATAAAATGACGAAGTTGAAAGAAAAAGAAAAGGAAGAAGCTGAAAGAAAAAGAAAAGGAAGAAGCTGAAAGAAAAATAAAAAGAAGAAGTTGAAAGAAAAAGAAAAGGAAGAAGCTGAAAGAAAAAGAAATGGAAGACACTCGAAGAAAAAGAAATGGAAGACACTCAAAGAAATAAAAAAGAAAGCATTTGAAAGAAAAAGAAAAGTAAGAAGCAGAAAGAAAAAGAAAATGAAAAAGCTGATAGAAAAATAAAATGAAGAAGCTGAAAGAAAAATAAAATGACGAAGGAAAGAAAAAGAAAATGAAGAAGCTGAAAGAAAAGAAAAGGAAGAAGCTGAAAGAAAAAGAAATGGAAGGCACTAAAGAAAAAGAAATTGAAGACACTCCAAAGAAATAAAAAAGAAAGCATTTGAAAAAAAAAGAAAAAGGAAGAAGCAGAAAGAAAAAAGAAAATAAAAAGCTGATAGAAAAATAAAATGAAGAAGCTGAAAGAAAAATAAAATGACGAAGTTGAAAGAAAAAGAAAATGAAGAAGTTGAAAGAAAAAGAAAAGGAAGAAGCTGAAAGAAAAATAAAAAGAAGAAGTTGAAAGAAAAAGAAAAGGAAGAAGCTGAAAGAAAAAGAAATGGAAGACACTCGAAGAAAAAGAAATGGAAGACACTCAAAGAAATAAAAAAGAAAGCATTTGAAAGAAAACGAAAAGGAAGAAGCTGAAAGAAAAAGAAAAGGAAGAAGTTGAAAGAAAAAGAAAAGGAAGAAGTTGAAAGAAAAAGAAAAGGAAGAAGCTGAAAGAAAAAGAAAATGAAGAAGCTGAAAAAAAATAAAGAAGCTGAAAGAAAAAGAAAATGAAGAAGCTGAAAGAAAAAGAAAATGAAGAAGCTGAAAAAAAAATGAAGAAGTTGAAAGAAAAAAAAAATGAAGAAGTTAATAGAAAATGAAGAAGCTGAAAGAAAAAGAAAAGGAAGAAGTTGGAAGAAAAAGAAAAGGAAGAAGCTGGAAGAAAAAGAAAAGGAAGAAGCTGAAAGAAAAAGAAAAGGAAGAAGCTGAAAGAAAAAGAAATGGAAGAAGTTGGAAGAAAAAGAAAAGGAAGAAGCTGAAAGAAAAAGAAAATGAAGAAGTTGAAAGAAAAAGAAAAGGAAGAAGTTGGAAGAAAAAGAAAATGAAGAAGCTGAAAGAAAAAGAAAATGAAGAAGTTGAAAGAAAGCAGAAACAAAACTGAAAGTAGATTCGATTTTGAAGTTTTATAAAAGAAACTAAATTTATTTTAATATTTAATTTCACTTTAAAAACTCAGTGACACTTCTGAATTTGCTATCCTCCTCAAAGATTTTTGACTTTTTAATGTATGAAAGTCTGACTATTTTTTGTTTTTTTACTTTTATGAACCTAACATATTGTAATTTTAGAACTTTTCATCTTGCCTAATTGCACAATAAAAATTTGAGGCAAATGTGTATTGTAAAGCTGAATTTTGTTTTATTGTTTTTTGCACCATTTTATATCTATCCAGAATGCAAGAGTAAGAATATTTTTTAAATTTAAGAACCCACAAATTCATTATGTCATCCACAATAATATTTTAGTGTCACCAATTCATAAAATCCTAATGACACATTTATAACATGCTAGTAAAACAATTGTAAAATCTTACAATCACATTTGTAACATCATAGTGACACATTTGAAAAATCTTAGCAACACATTTGTTACATCCTAGCACCATATTAATAACTGAGTGACACATTTGTAAAAACTCAGAATCACATTTGTAACATCCTAGTGACATATTTGTAATATCTTAGTTACACATTTGTAACATCCTAGTGTCACCACCCAAGTGTTATAAACATTCTTTCACATCAGAATCACATTTGTAACATTCTAGTAACACACATGTAACTTCTTAGTTACACATTTGTAACATTTTAAGGAAACATTTGTATGAGTAAAATTATAGTTTCACATTTGTAACACCTGAGTGACACATTTTTAACAACTTAGTGATGCATTTGTAACATTTTAATGACACATTTTGTAAAATCCCAGTGAGATTTGAACCATTCTGAAGTCACATTTCTAAAATCCTTGTAACACAAATGTTAGGGATACCTTTATAAAATCTTAGTGACACATTTGTATGAGTAAAATCCTAGATTCAGATTTGTAACATCTTAGGGACACATTTGTAAAATCCCAGTCAGATCTGTACCATTCTGGAGTCACATCAATAAGTAGCAATGGAAATAATAAAATAAACAATGGCAATTTTCTGTTTGCATTAGTTTGAAATTGTTTAGTTGCATCAATTTGAAATTGTTCACTTGTAGTCATTGGAAATCTTTTAATTTCAACATTTTTATATTGCTTGCAGCAAGTGGAAATTGTTTACTTACAGCAGTTTGAAATTGTATATTTGTAGACATTGATTTTTTTTTTAATTGCAGTATTTGTAAATTTCTTGCAACATTTGGAAATTGTTTACTTACAGCAGTTGGAAATTGTTTATTTACAGCAGTTGGAAATTGTTTATCTGGAGTTGCTGGAATTTTTTAATTACAACATTTATTAATCGCTTGCAGCAATTAAAAATTGTTTCCTTGCAGCAGTTGGAAATTGTTTATTTGTATACAATGGGAATTGCTTATTCCCAACAGTTGGAAATTGTTTATTTGTAACACTTTGAAATAATTTATTCAAAACAGTTAGAAATTGCTTGGAGCAGTTTTAAATTCTTCACTTGCAACCAGGGGGTATTGTTGATTTGTATCAATTAGGAATTTCTTGCAGCAAATTGAAATTGTTTAATTGCAGCAGTTTCAAATGGTTTATTTGTAGACAATGGTAACTGTTTATCCACAACAGTTGGAAATATTTTTATTCGCAGGAGTAGAAAATTGTTTATTTGTAACAGGTAGAAATTGCTTGCAGCAGTTTGAAATTTTTTACTTGCTGCAACTGGAAATTGTTTATTTACAACAGTTACAAATTACTTGAATCAATTTGAAATTGTGTACTTGCAGCTGTTGGTAATTGTTTATTTGCAACTGTTAGAAATTTATTGCAGCAAGTGGAAATTGTTTACTTTTAGCCATTTGAAATTGTTTACTTTTAGCCATTTGAAATTGTTTACTTGCAGCTGTTGGTAATTGTTTATTTGTAACTGTTAGAAATTGCTTGCAGCAATAGGAAATTGTTTACTTTTAGCCATTTGAAATTGTTTACTTGCAGCTGTTGGTAATTGTCTATTTGCAACTGTTAGTAATTGCTTGCAGCAATTGGAAATTGTTTACTTTTAGCCATTTGAAATTGTTTACTTGCAGCTGTTGGATATTCTTTCATACCTCTAGCCAGATTTCTATTTCTGTAACAACAGCACCGTGTTCAGGTTCAGGGATATCGTATGAAGCTCACCTGAGTTAGTGGACAATATTCTATCATTGAGTCAATGTGTTGAGATGATCTTTTGCTTTCATTGAAGTGGTAATCACTTGGGTGTGCAACATTGAGCTAAGAAATAGAATTATCGAAAGTCTATTCACGTATGACATATAAAACTAGGTACCTCTACTAATTCACTAAATAAACATGATAGCATAATGAAAAACGCCCCCAAACTTAATAAAAACAAAGTTTTATTGTATAAATATTTATGTTATTATTAAGAGGTAAAACTAAAGTATTTTTTTATTATTTTTAAAATTTTTTAGTCCTTTCTAACATGTTTGAAATCTTGATTTTTTTTATGCATCAACAATGTTACAGAGTTGACTATGGAAATTTTAGTGCCTTTTCTGGTAAAATAACACATTAATTTGAAAATTCTTGTAAAAATCAAATAATTGTTTTTAATGAAATTTCAGGACTTCTTCACAAATGAATGCATTTATTTTTTAACAGTTCTCTGTTATTTTCAACTTAAAGTAAATAATATTTGTTTCAAATAGGATTACTTATACTTTAAATCAGCTAAAATTCTTCAAATAAGGTTTCAGAAAAGTATATTTTATTTTTGGAAGTTTTTTTAATAAAGAAAATTTCATTGCAATAACAGATGACTTAAAAAGGGCACAAATCAGTTATTTTTAGCCAAAAAAAGTGATTCAACTCCAAACAATAGAATTTCTTATTGAAATACACTACAGAGTATTTTTTTACTTGAAATAGTAAATTTAATCATTTAGCTTTCCATTAAAGCTAAAATGAAAGCATCTAGAAAGCTTTTTAATTTTTGAATTCATTTTAAACCTTAAGTATCATGAATTAGTGGAGGTATACACATAAGACTAAACCTGGCATCATATTTTGGTGGGCCGTATTCATTATGGAACATGGTAAGACAATCAGCAATATGTAGTGGTTTGGTGATGTTTGATGATGCCCTGGGCAAACTTGAGTCTTAGAGGCATACAATCAAGACAAAAAAGAAAATCTTTGATACATTTTAATTGGTCCCATGCTTGTAAGAATCATCCCAATATGGTTCTAATCAACTAAATAATCAACTAAACTTATATCTTCCAATATATTACTCGTCCTGTCATGACGAGGTGCAAAACCCACAGACTGCAAAATAATATACCATAAAGAGGCTTGGATCTTCTCAGAGTTAACTCCTCCTTAATTTCCTAATTGTTCACTAGGGGTTGCTCTCCCTACACTATAAATACTGGGCAATTTATTGCCTCATTCTCTTTTTTACTTTGCATTTCAGCGAACACATTTAAAAAATATGATCTCTCGCAGAGATCTGCATTTTGCCCATTTGTGGAAAAATGCCATGAATACATACACACATACATGTACGTATGAACATTCATCAAAATGCACAAACACAAATGTGTTAGCAGCATAAATGTGGTCCCACAGACTGAACAAATGGCCATGAGAAAGTTCTAACATAAATCCAAACTAGAAGGACAGCCTTTATTGAAAAGAGATAGTTGAAAATTCTAAGACATATAATGAGGAAAGAAGGCTTGGAAAATTTGACACAGTAAAGGCAAGAGGGGCAGAGGGAAATTACTTTGTCTATTGTAAATCTTGTTGTTTAATACATATGCTTGTTGTATATATATATATCTGTCTTGTTTGTTTCCTTTACATATCTTTAGTTGGACTCAACTTGAGTCTGCCATATTCTTGTAGTGAACGTTTTAATATTCTATCAGGAGTTACACATGCATTGCTAATTTAACAACATGTAAACCCACAGTCCGCTGTAATCTTATTTTTCCTGCACATTGTCTAAATGTTAACTATAATATGATTCTTATTTGCCTTTCCATTACAAAATTTATATCTTCTTTTTTCAGATCCTTTCAAGAACTAGGTGATCATGGTTCTCCACAACTTCCTTTTTTTTTAGTATCCTTTGAATTTTTACCGTTTATATCTTTCCTTGTTCTGCCCTCTATTTATGCAAATTCATTAAGCAAATTATATTTTCACCTACTTTGCTTGATTTCATTATGTCCTGTGGGTGTTTAGTTCTCCAAGACTTCTTTCCTCATTATATGTCATAGAAATGATAAGTTTCTAAGTGCAAGTATCAGTTTCCTCATAGTTCTTATGTTCCTTAAAACCTCCTAATTCCTTACATATTCCATTTCTGCTATTCTTAGCATTCAACAGCAGAAAACTCCTTCAAGTCTCTTCTTCATCTGTAAAGAGATTGTACTATATTCATTATTTATATATATGGTGATAAAACTTTAACGATTTCTCACCATCATAAATATTATGTGTTCTGTATAAAGGGAAAAACTTTTCTATCTAAATTGTTTTCCTCTTTGCTTGCGGCATTCTAGTCTTTTGATATTTTTCTGTCGTGGTAATATTTGTTGACACTTGGTTAATATTCATCATTGTTTCCCTTGTCTTCCAACTCCAGTAGAACTTCTCTCCTTGTTTCAAACTTTACTTCCCTTCTGGGAGGCTTGTTTTTCTCCTCTTTGTCTCTTAAAGTTTTATGAGCCTGGAAATATTACTTATTCATGGTTTAAACATTTAGAATCATGGCATTGTGCTAACTTTTATGCCGCTGATGGGAATTAGAGACTTACAGTGCAACATTGGCTGTTACGTGCCATCAAACCCGATACATAATCTACAAAAAGAAAGTGTCATTAACATAGATATGATTCTGATCTCTCTTTCCATGACAGAATGACTATGGATTTATTTAAAATTCTAAGGATACAATCAGAGTGAACATC